AGAACTGCAGTAATGACAATGAACGAGAAATGTACTCCGTATAAAGCGATGCGCATTGTATTTTAAACGAATTACAAACATATTCAGTGAGCATTTTCCATCATGAGAATTGATTCATGTCTAACAGAAAAACCGAAAATGCAATATTTCAAAATTATGTGCATTCAGTTGTGGTCTTGAACCGGGAAGGCGACATGCATTCTTTAAATGCCTAATGTACCTTCGAGGAAACATTCTCCGCTGGATGCCCTCTTTTTCATGTGGCGTTACGGCAAACGGGCTTAATCATCTTGTCGTGTAAACGTTACGAACAAATTGATTGGCCGTCAGCCCTCCAGTCATCGTTAGGGCCCTTTTCCTCCTTCTTCTCTCCGCAAGTGAGTACATGAAATGCGTTGCCAATTAGATCTTGTGGGACTGTGGATTGACACGATCGAGCAATGATGGTATTAAACGTTAGAAAGCCAAATATTTACACTACAAGAGGTGTTCATGTAATAATATTATTTCATTTGTTAATTTGGCGTTATTGATTGTGTATCAGGGAATGGTATTTAAAAAATCTTCAGCAGAAGAGAGAAGTATTCTTGTTTCTTTCGGTCGTTCAGTCGAATTCCTGAAACATACAGTGAGGGAAAAACTTTTGCAATGATTGACGCATTGCCAGTTTATGACTCATAACTCGAGTATGATGAGTTCAATTTTGCATCAATTTCAGTCAATCATACTTCAACTACCTGGTTTTGGATTGGTTCTAGTCACATGTCAATTGGCTCCTTATTGGATGAGCTGCAGCTGTTGAAAGCTAACCAGGTCATTGCAATAGTTTTGTCCCTACGTCCCACGCTTTCCATCCACGATATAAAAAACCCTCCACAGTCTCTCATTTCCCAAATGAAACCTGGCCAGCAAACCTGTAGCTTGCTTAGCTGTAGATGTGGTAGGCTTGGGTGGGGTTGGGTTCCATTTGAACATTACTGGCAACATGGAACCGCTTTCCCAACAAACCCGCGACAGCATCTCCTCACTCGTCGACCATGGCCTCTCGACGCTTCGAATTGCAGCCCAGCTTGGCATAAGGTATAGCACCGTATCCTGGGTGCGTTTTCAAGTCAGACCCGACGCATCAAAGAGCAATGGTGGGCATCCATCCCAACTTACCGCCGCCGACAAGCGCAGATTCATCAGAATGGTGACATCGGGTCAGGTTGACACTGCAGTGCAAGAGACTAGGTAGCTCAAAAACAGCACTTCAGTAGAATGCAGTGCCAAAACTGTTCGCAGAGCCCTGAAAGCAACTGGTCTGAGGGCAACAACCAAGCGAAAGAAGCCGCATCTCCAGCCGCGACATATCTTACACCAGCTGGAATTCGCCCGCCGCCACCAACACTGGACTGTGGAGGACTGGAAACGCATTATTTGGTCAGACGAAACAAAAATCAACTTTATGGGGTCGGATGGGCACGTTTGGATATGGAAACAGCCCGGCGAAGCCCTAGCAGAGCGGCACGTGAGGGAGTTCCGCAAGTATGGTGGAGGTGGCCTGATGATTTGGGGCTGCATGACGGTCAAAGGAGTCGGGTTTGGCTGTCAAATCCAAGAAATAATTTATGTCAGGCTCTATACAAGCACAGAGAAACACGATACCAAGGAAGCAGTCGCTCGGATGCTTACTTATGACGATAGGTCGCTTTAATCCATTGATTCAGAGTTTGCATTCCATTTGGGACTCCCCTATAATGAACAAGATACTAAAAACAAAGAAAGTAAGCTACCTTGCTAAATGGAAGATGAATCTCCATCCATATATGCATGAATACGAAGGTCTCTTCCGTGGTCAACATTGACTGCTTCAAGATGTATCCATTTTCGCATGAAAATGACTTGAGGTTAAAAAAAATAGTCCGCCTCACCATGAGTCAAAAATGATAAAATAATAAGAATGAGAGATTGATGGACATTACACAGGCCGCTTCGTCATTAGCTTCTTTTTATTCAAACCCCAAGAAACTAATAGCCCATTACAACGTATTCTGAAGGAAAAAAACATGTGATTGCAATCGTTGCTGTTCCCATATCACCAAGTAAAGAGGGACTTTACTTTAGACGCGTCAGTAATAAAATCAGGATATCGGAGAATTCCTGCAGCATTCAAATCGTCAGGCAGCAAGAAGTGCTTGATCGTAGGAGTAGTAATTTTGCTCGGCTTGGTTTTAGAACGGGAAATACAAGCTGATGAAATTCAATGACAGTCAAAATGTGCAATACATAGGGCTTAGTAGAAATCATTGGGAAAATGCAATGGAAAACCCCTACGTTCCCAAAACAAGCAAAACAGCAAGCGAGCTAAAGCGCTGGTCCCAGGAAAGACAGGAACAAAAACTGAGGAGGTCAAGGAAAACGAGGTCACCAAATCATTTTCAGACATGATTTGAATCTTGGTTTCAGGGAAAATCCAATAGGCACCCAAGAATGGATATCTTTCAGAAACTAATCCAATCAGTATGGAATCAACAGAGTTTGGAATGAAATATGAGTATTGCAATAAATAAACAAAATAATGATGCGAGCGGAACTATAATACGGGCTGAAAATCAAACGTTTCAGAGTCTCCATGTTCAAAATTAAATGGATCACACACAAAGGAACAACAAATGCTGCAAGAAATTCAGTCCGATACTGAAGGACAGGAAAAGGAAACAGGCTTGTCTTGCTCGTTCGGAACTTCCTCCATCTGTTCCGTCTGCTGCTGCTCCGAGAATGTCGCCAGCAAAATCTGAAACGCCTGACATAAAATCTTCTGGAATGGATCCTGCAAGTCTTGCTACTTGGCTTGAAATGACACCAAAGTTGCTTGCAATTTGTTCTGTTTGATCTCCTGAGGCTGCTGCTGCTGCAAATGCATCAAGAATCGATCCATTGTTGTTCCCCTTTCCACCTCCTGTGTTGCTTCCAGTTGGCTTCTTTGTCGTGCCTCTAGCAGCTACTCTTGTCGTGGCTCGTGTTGTTCCTCTTGTCGTGGCTCGTGCTGATTCTCTTGTCGTGGCTCGCGGTAATCCTTCGATAGTTCCCTCATTAATTGCATCTGCTGCTACTCCTAGAATGATGCGTACATAATCTGAAATGATTAATGCTTCATCTTCTGGATGGGATTCCACAAGTCTTGATAGTTCTTCTGAAATTTTTTCAGCCTTGCTTGCCATTTTTTCTGCTAGAACTCCTGAGGCTGCTGCTGCTACAATTGCATCAAGAATCGATCCTTGGTTGTTCCCATTTCCACCTCCTGCGTTGCCACCAGTTGGCTTCTTTGTCGTTGCTCGTGTTGTTCCTCTTGTCGTGGGTCGTGTTGTTCCTCTTGTCGTGGCTCGTGTTGTTCCTCTTGTCGTGGCTCGTGTTGTTCCTTTTGCTGTTGTTCCCGTAGGTCCCATTTTTTGCCCTACCGCTGGTGCTCTTGAAGTCCCTTCGGTCTTCTTCGTTGCAGTGTCCCTGATGGCTCTTGCTCTTCCAGTAGATCTTTCCATAGCATTTCCTACTACAACTCCATTCACTCTGTCAATACCGTCTCCTGCATCAGCTCTTCCAATTCCAGTTTCTCCTCCACTTGCTCCTCTTTTCGTTCCTCTCCGAATCATCCTGTTAGGTGTAATATTCGTCGCAAGTCGTAAATACGCCTTTCAAGCACAATTAGAGCAATAAAGCCACGATATGAGATTGGTGTCGTTGTGTTTGTTAGGAGAAGAGGTCAGCTTTTGACAATTTACGCAACTACCTACAAACTACCATATCTGAGGATATCACATGAAACAGGGCATGATGAACTAAAGCACCCGCGTGAATTTCCCAGCAATCTGCAAATGATTTTAAAATTTCGCAATTGAATGTTGAGTTGAAGTTCTTTTGGCAAGTCCTGATTAGAAAAACCTCTTCATGGGAGTTACTTAGGCAAAGGTTTGTTTTGCTTGCATTTGAGTAAATTACGTACTAGCCAAACTTTCTGCTTTCACAGAAGCAGCAATGAAAATGCCCGCTTTCTTGAAAGTAGAACTAATAAGCGCTGTATTAGACGAAGCGTCCACCTATAGCACTGATTTTAGTATGGGACTGATTTTTAGGTAAAAAATCAGTCCCATCAAATGTGTCTCCACTGGTGCATATGCTCATACATACATGTATTCATTGGTATTTAGGATTTCCGAACATGTTTTTCTTCATGTCTAAAGTGATACAAAATAAATCATTTTGGGGAAGCCATGAGTTGGGTTTAAACAAAGAGTTTGTTCACAGCTCGTCTAGCTTATCTCACATTACGTTACGTTACTGAATAGATTGACTTGGGTTTCCGGCGAAGAATTCTGTATAAAATAAAAAACCAGTGTTCAAAAGCGGCCAATGCCTGGTGTTTACATCCGCCCGTCAACTATGAATCATCCTGGAACACATCCCAGGTTCTTGATTGCGCATTAACATGCTCGGGGCTCAATATCGCCTAGGAGTAAGATTCTCTCCTCTCACCTGAAGGATGACACAGGACAGGTTCTTCCTGCTTCGACCTCGTCGTATACCACACACGTGTCGCACGGCATGTACAGGATGTCTTGTGCCTGGCTATTCCGTTGGTGAAACCTTTCCAGCGCTTGAAGAGTGCCTTCCTGCCCAAATTGGTCGACTTCGTTCCAGTTTACCCATTGAATGACAATTTCCTCCATACTTGAATCGTCCGCCAGACAGGAAACTGTTCTTGTTCGCAAGGAAAAGTTTTTCAAATATTTCATCGCGCACGATTTGAATATATTGAAATAATGAACTGAACTGTAGAATTGCATAAATAAATATAATATCCTAAAACGGTGAAATACATTCCGAGATATGCATATTTTCGTTCATTCTTGAGGTTATCCTTCAGGATTAGTGCCAAAGCGGTTCATCCTGAAATGCATGTTATATCATGATTTGAAATTTAGAAAAAAATAAAAGGAAAGCTACCTATAACCTACTATGCGCTACTCACATTTGAGAAACGCATGGAACCCTTCCGCAGGGACGAGCTGTCCCCCACCCTCGTAAACCAGCTGACAGGTGCCATCCGATTCCCTGAAGTTGAAGGCGTGGCACGGCAGGGATTTCCCGTAGTGGGCGCATATAGCGTCGCATGCCTCGAAGTCGACGGTGATCTCGATTGATGCAAGTCCGTAACGTTGCCCGGGGTGTATGGCCCAGTACACCATTGGTTCGAATGCTGATCCGACCCAGAAGAGGCTGGAAAGCGCGGCCAGCATCAAAGAATAGTCCATCGCCCTGTGAGGACACAGAACTACAATTCCTACAATGGAGTTAATGCTAACATGTTAATATATAACCATGAGAGTACATAGTCGTCCTCTGTGTCGGCTGGCTATATCTCCTCTTCTTGGGTCGACACAGTTGCGTTTGAAAATGTATTTAAAGACTCTGCCCGGAGTCGGTGCGATCAGAGTCGACTGTGCCTTCCGGCAAGTCTTCTTTCCTGCTCGTTTCGCTTCTATCAACCCAACTACCGAGAAATGTCGAAATGGAAGGAATATATGATCATGACACATGATCGAAGAATCGATTGGTCCTTGCTCGTTTCGGCTTGAATCGACTTTGTTCCTCGCGTTTCAATGATGGAAATTTTCAAAATGTCCATTGCGACAAGAAAAGAGCTTGGTTTTTGTATGATGACATGAAATAATGTGTCATGCGTCTTGACACAATTCAGTGTGTCCTTTGCAGCATCTTACTGCAAGACACCTGCCGAAATGCGTCGAACGGAAAGACGAACCATAATTTAGCAGATGGACGCGTGTCAACTAACGCATGACACATGCTACCGATTTTCACCGAATTCGACGACCTCGTGACTCGTTTTACGGGCCAAACGCGAAGAAACTCTTATACACACATAACATAGTCGAATGACACATTGAATAGTGTCATTTGTCAGTATTTCTTCATGAAGTAGATACAGAAGCAAAATTTCCAGGTAGTGAGCAACGACAATCGTTCCTGAACACCAAGTATCTAACGAGAAATGGCAAGGTTATCTCTTTTCAAAGGCAAAACGTTCCTGGATCGAAGTAATAAATGTTGGGGGGGAGACGACAGGAATCTTGGAGAAAGTGAAATTTGTTTGTTGAGATCAAGGAAAATGCCTATTGCAAAATTGAGACCAGGCTAACAATCCAATAATTCGTATTCTTTTCTTCAAATGAACGAAATCATCCAGATGAAGAAGGTGAAGATCTTAAATAATTATTTGGAATGTTTTTGAAATAATAACCCCGCACAATACGGTAATGCCGACGCTATTATCGCTCACCTTCAAATAAAAATGGATGAGAGTCAGTAAAAAAAAGAAAAAAGAAAACGGAGTAACGAAGAAAACGGGAAACGACCGCTTCGTAAAAGTACTAACGTTACAATGTTCGTTGCCGAAACGTACGAATAAGGTCTGGAGATGACTGAATAACTGTAGTGACACTGTTAAGGTGCTTCACTCGAGTAAAACGGTGATGAACGAATCGGTGAAGGTTCGTGGACGCCTTCATCCGATTCGCACCCGCCAGAGCCAGGAGCCTTCGAGAGTCTGCTTTTTCCTGGACTGTCCGTTCCCTGCTTCTTCGAACGGCGCAGTTCATCGATTCAGGCTTACTTCGGGTACGATCGTGATTTATGAAGGTGCACCATTTTTGTTTCCTATCCCGTAGCTAGGATTTCACCACACTGTTGCTAGGAGGGGGCTTTCACGACGACGAAGGGGTATTCAAAGGGGCAATACCCCATCTTCTTGAAGGCTGTACACTTTCATGCATACCTTTACTTTTTTACCTAGTGCCATGTGGTAGATCATACTATATCTGTGGGCACATTTAAATATTTATGACTTGATGACTCATTATTGAGTGTCGCGCAGGATGCCTCCAATATGAGTCAATTGACAAACTATGTGACTCAATCATTGTGTCCGTTGGCATATTCTCCCCTCCAGTGTTTCATTTGTTCAAAGATTGCGACACGCTAAAACAAGAACAATATGAGGAACTTCCTTCAAGGCTTAGCTATGTATGTGCCATATATAATATCGTGTCTTCTCTGTTTCGTTGCTTGCAGTTCTTCATGTGGCATGACAGTCTCAGACTCCGTTTCGTCCCCTTCTGCATACATTTTAAGAGTTAGAGAACATGGAGTTACAGCCGTTCAATCCCCCTCGCATCTGCTGTTACGCACTTTTTCCTCGGCCCACGTCAATACATGACAGGCGTTACCAAGGAGACATAGAGTGAGCCTGGAATGCCTAGTCCAGCAAAGGAACTACTAAGGAGTCGAAAGCTTTTTCACAGCTTTTTTAAGCAGTTAATTTTTTTTCGCGGTTGTTTCTGCGTTTTTACCTCTGTGTCTTAGGATAATTATTACAAATAGTCATCAGAAAGGAAGAAACTGTTTCCATGTATATTTATTCACCACATTGAATGACTGAAAAATGTGAAGTTTGAGGTGAGATCAATGAATGTCATTCACACGCATTTCCGTATGTGTTGTGAAACTGTAGAAGAGTTTTACTCAGGCGATGGAATCGTTTCTGAGGAGGCTGTCGCCCACCCGCGCCTTCCTGGACGTTGCCATCGAGGCCGATACACAGGTCGAAATCGGGGATGGAGGAAACGTGGCACTGCTGATACGAAATATTGCGGCTTCGTATTTTGCTTCCCCCACCGTTCATTTGAACCGAAATTTGCATAGAGAGACACGATACACTTCCGGTGTGGTATTGCAAAGTGTTCCTCCTCCGATTGAAGAGCACAAAGACAGAGTCTTTGTGCTCTTCAATATTCCAATACCTCACGGACTGAACGATGTAATTTTCAGGTGTTCGTTTGAACTACTGGAAATTTGCGGTTCCCAGAGCCGCTAGTGATGGATATCGTGTTCCCCGCAGCAAGTCTTTCAGTTTACCGAACAGCCAGAAGTCACTCGGTGCCAGGTCTGGCGAATATGGAAGACGCGGCAGACACTCTATGCCCCTCTCAGCCAAGAACTCTATCACTAAACGGGCAGTTGGCTGCCTTCTTTTTCAGGTGGCGTTGCGGCTTAACGGACTTCACCATCTTGTCGTGTAAACATTTCGAAAATATATTCATGGCCGTCAGCCCTCCAGTCCTCGTTCGGGCGCCTTTCCTCTTTTTATTTGCGTAAGTGAGTAAATGAAAGGCGCTACCAAGTAGACCTTGTGGGACTGTGGATTGCCTCGATCGAGCTATGAAGCTAATATTCTGACGAAAGACTTTTCTACAATATACAAGGGATGTTCAGTTAATAGATTTATTTTTCTTGCTAACTTGGCGCTATTAATTTGAATCGGGGAATGATATTCAAAATTATTCATCAGAAGAGAGAATAATTCTTGTCTCTGTCGATCGCTCTGTAGCATTCCTGATACAAATATGACGCTCGAGCTGAGTTTGGAAATTGCCAACCACACGTGCTAAAAAACCTGTGAGGGATCTGTAGATTTTCCCCACTCGATTGAAAACGACCTTCCCTGAGGAGCCTGTCGGCTCACCGCATGCAGGTGGACGCCTTTGCCCGATCCATGTCTGCCATTGGCACGTCTGAGAGCCTGCCTCTTCTTTCACCGCTAGTTTCTTGGCTCTCCAATGCATTTACTCGGTTGCGTGTGCGGAACGATCGTGATGAATATGGTTTTTCTGAACCTTTGTTAATTCATGAAACATTGATTTTGGGAACCTTGGAACGTTTCTAGGAAACGGACTGTGACTCTGGATTGATTCACTCCCTGGATGTTGCTATCGAGGCCGATACACAGATTGAGGAAACGTTGCGCTGCTGATACGAAATAATACGGCTTAGTATTTTGCTTTCGCTACTGTGAAAATATATTAATTTGCGTGCTTCTGATATTCAGAAGCTAATTTATGTCCTTACGATCCCTCGCGCGTTGTTATAGCTTCTACAGGGTGTCCCACTCGCTTTGGTACCCGAAAAAGGGCAAATAACTTTTAAACTATTGAACGTATTAAATCGAAATTTGAACTTCACGTACCTTAATCTATGACAATCAAAATGATGTGCTTGGTCGCGCTGTAGGCGCCAGAAAACCGGGATAGCAGGCCGAAATTCAGGCTTTCTTCAATGACAGGGTTATCTCCAAGGGACTTTGGCCGCCACGTTCGCCGGATTTAACACCGCCTGATTTCTTTCTCTGGGGATACCTGAAGGGGCGAGTGTACCGGAACAAGCCAAGAACACTTGCGGAACTCGAGGCCAACATCCGGAAAGAAATAGACGCAGTGGATCCGGATATGATAGCACGCACCTTCCTAAACATGGAAAGTCNAATAGACGCAGTGGATCCGGATATGATAGCACGCACCTTCCTAAACATGGAACGTCGTGTCCAAGCATGCTTGGATGCAAACGGCGGACATTTCCAACATATGTTGTGACATCGTTTTGATTGTCATAGAGTAAGGTACGTGCAGTTCAAATTTCGTTGTGATACGTTCAATAGTTTGAAGGTTATTCGCGCTTTTTCGGGTACCAAAGCGAGTGGGACACCCTGTATAATAACTGTTTAAGATACCTCGTGGAAACTTATTTTGAATCATTTCGCGAAGTTATAGTCTATGCAAGAAAGGAAGACAACTTCATGGCCTGACGAACGATTTTCGAATAGCCGAATCCTTTTTTATTTTGATTCTTATGGCATCATATCAGATGCATGTCACCGTCAGAGTCCATACAATCCGTGAAATGGGTGCGGCCAAAGAAATAAGCTCAGGGGGAAGTCCAGGGAGCGCAAATATATGGAAACTCTACATGGCAACTTCATACGGCAAATTTGGACTCTCAAACCTGCACTCTCGTTCCTTTTCTAACTTGAATTTCCTTGCGTGGTCGTTATCCATTCCCAGCTCGGAATTTAAACTATTCCTTTTGCGTCTTAGTGATTTATGTGAAATAATCATATCGATTGTGCAATGATTTTCTCATATTTTAAGAGCCAACTGTGTCAACAGATGCTGAATATGTGACCACGATGGGACTAGCTGCAACCTTTTGAGAATAAATTTGGTCTAAAGAACGCGGATACGCCATACGGATTCCACATTTTCCATTGACCTTTGCTCTCGGTCGATGTTTAGCTCCGATCCCAAGATGTTTAGCAACTTCCAACCAAGGCACCCACGTTAGCTATCGTGAGTTGGTCTTTAATAGTCGACTTTCTCTGGCTATATCAGCTGAAAAATAGTTGTTGCACGCCGTTGTGCAATGTGAGTATGAAGTGGTATGTCTTTGCTGTATCGGTGTAATTTCGACCTGGTTTTTTGGTGCTAAGAAATTTGGTATATTGCAGTAATCATGTATAGTATTTTGCAAGAGTTCAGAACTTTTTCCTCGTAGTAATCAGCCTAACCTGTTCTGGTGACGAAATATGGGCGTCAGACGTATGTAATCGCGACTGTCGGCTCTAAGAAACTCAATACCAAATTACTCTAAACGCCATCACTTAGCTCGTAGATTTCATTTACGCATTTCGTCTGGGATGGAAATTGAAGTCATTTCTATACTCAGTCGCACATCTTGGTTTTTATGATGTTTTGACAATATTCGCCAGTCTATGTCTTGACATGCAAGCCGAATAAGCACCGTCACGATTGCAAAAGCGATTCTAATCAAGAGAAGTGCAAGTTCATAGGATGGAAACTTCTCAGACGTAAGACCGTGAGTGTTTGCGCCAGCTACGAACGTTCTGTCGGTCAGTCAGAGTCATGAAAACTTGCCGAAGGAATTGTGCGAGGCATCAAACCGCGGTGAGCTTTGCACTCGCGCGAGGATCGTCGGGCTAGATAGTATTTTAATGATACGCGGCTTCATTAGTGAACTCAGGAATTGTCACACCCTGGATTGCGTATATGCGAGCGCCGCAATCGTCGTGAGTTGGAACAATTCATCTTAACCATTCTTAATCATATATTGCAGATAGGATTGCGAAAACCAAGTCTCGAAAGCGGGAATTTAACGCTTTCTTGAATATTTCCTCCCATTTGGGGCGTTATAAAAGCAGACTCGCATCCACGAGCAGTCTTATTGTTTTCCGATCTCGGTTTCCCCCTTGAGATAATGGGAATCTGAGGTGAGTGCCGAAGCCTCGTTTTATGTTTGTTCGGGAAAGCGGTCCAAAATTACCATCATGTGATTTGCGATTGAGAAAAAGCCCAGTCGATTTTGCCGCCGTCATCGCAACATTGACTTTCATGACCCCTTCTCGAAGCTTCCGCTTCGTCTTTTGCTCTCTCATGTTCGTCAGAGGTCGTTCAAATTTCGACAGACCGAAACAGGGACTGTATTGCATCACAGCGTTCCTCGAATCGTCATGCTGACTGGACCGTCGTGCTGACTGGGCCGTCATGCTGACCGCCGTTTTAAGACACTGCCGAGACACGAGATTTTCTTCATCAGATTTTCCACCTCGGATTTAGGTGATGCCACACTGAAGGAAGTGCTCGACGGCGGCCACCTGAAGACGACGTAGGGGTCAGTTCTCAGAAATCTGAGACGACAGGTTGTGATGTCTGCTTTTTATTTTCCTTGTCTTGAAATATTTTCTCGAGAGTCGAGATAATTAAGAAGGCCGACTGGGACTCTTTAACGCGAGGATGTCGATAATGTCGATAATGCTTAATCTCTCGTTAACAAATCTGCGTATTAAAAATCTCGACATCTACTGGATTAAATTTGAAAACTCCATAGGCATTGCATTTTCTTGACTATTTTATTGTTTATGTGTATTATATATATTAGCTTGTTTACGAAATGTAAGATATGGAAAATGGAAAGATTGAGAAAACAGCTGCACGTATGACTTTCCCTAATAAACCCTTACGCTAGGAAGTACCCGACCTGATAAGCCCGATTCAAGTCATGGCCCGCACCAAACCGAAACTAAAATTCCAACTAAAAATTCGGATCGTGTTAGTTTCGTGTTAATCAATGAAAATCAAGAGGCAAAATTTCTATAGCTACTGTTCTATGGAGGAGTTCAAAACGGTTTCCTTTAAACCTTATACCTTCTGGATCTTAAGTATTTACGGTTAAATCTGGAAATTGCTGTATTGTAACTTCGCGCAATTTGCGCGAAGTTATGTGACTACCAAGATAAGAAGTTGAAGAAAAATGTTATGCCTTGATACATCCCCGGGGGAGAATTACTCGAGGGGCGATGTTTAAAAAAAAGAAAATTGTCGTGGCGAATTGGACAGAAATGGAAAGGTGAGACTTGGCACACGTATAAGTGATGTGATCTTATGGAGTTGAGGGAGTATTCAGCTATTATGGTGCATTTTCTCCGGGCATAGCATTTGGGTGGGTTGGCTTTCCTGAAATTTCTGAAATTTCGGATCCAGCAAAACGGAGATTGCAAGAAAAGTTGAACTTGGCAAAGAAATGGAAAGATCAGTAGCTGAGTAAAGAAACAATTCTACTTTCATCTAATATATATAGACGACCGTGACTGACTGACTGACTGACGCTAATTCTAACCATGTTCCAGAAAGGTTAGAAATCTGAAACTTGGTACACATGTACCTTTGGGGTGCAGAGTTCAGAAAAAATCCGACTTCGGAGGTACATGCCCTGGGGGTACACATTTTGGGGGGAGAAGGTTTTTTAAATATGTATCGTCATGGATAAGGATGTCTTCGAGAAGAACACCTGTACCTCGCCGTTTCGGTGGAGCAGTGGTAGCACATACATCACGTAATCTTGAGACCGGGTTTCGATTCCCGCCTATTCCATGCCCTTTTTTGGCTTCTTTTGCCTTCCATATCCCGTGGCTTGAGTAAAACGAAGAGAAATAGAAGGCTGAAACGTGCCATGGATGTGCCTACCGACACGATGGGTTCAGGAAAAATGCAAAATCATGCATGCCCTGGGGGCATATTTTTGAGGGCCAACGTTTTCAAGTGTTTTTCTTTGTCCTGGTGTATTAAGCTAGTGTGGAAAGATGAAACTTGGTACAGAATTACCTTCCGGGATGCTGCGTGCAGAAAAATGCAGACTTTGGAATTTTCTGATCCAGTAAAACAGAGATTGCTGGAAAGGTTGAACTTGGCAAAGAAATAGAAAGATGAGTAGCCGAGTAAATAAACAATTCTACTTTCATATAATATATAGATGATCGTGAGTCGCTGACTGAAATAAGTAGCTATTCACATGCTGAGTTCAGGAAAAATTCCACTTTGGTGGTACACGCCATAGGAGCACACCTTTTCGGGGAACATATTTTCAAATAGTTTTCTTTTCTTGAATCAAACCCATGGAAGATCATGGAAAGCTGTAACATGGCAAGAACGTGACTGGGGAAGCACTCAGTCAAATGTCAAATGTCAAATTTCCAAAATATTTTTTTGGCTTATTTCTTGAGGACGTAACATTTTCAAAGAATTTTAAATATCCTAGCGAATCGGGCAGAAATTGAAAAATAGCACCTGGCGCACGCATAACGGACGTGATGTTGATTTAAGGAAAAATTCAACTTTTGCTGAGCGTCTCCCTGGAGAACAGCTTTTGGGTTGGTTGCTTTTCCAAATATATTTTTTACCGCCAGCAAAATGGGGAAACGTATAAGGCTGAAAGTGGGTGGCATAGAGTTCCCTGAGTCTATATTTCAGGATAATAAAAAATTTTCGTTAAAAAAAATCAGACCACTTTTTTTAAGTCCCATTATTATATATTATTATTATTTTTATTTTTCGATCCAACGAAACAGAAACGGAAAATTAAAAATTCCCTTCAGAAGTACCTGTTTGATGGCTGAGTACAGGAAAAATCCTCCTTTTGAAATATGCCTTATGAGCATAGATTATAGGAGGGAAGTATTTGAAAATGTGTTCTCCACCATTACCTTTGCAAAAAGGGACACACGAAGAGATATCAAGTTGGGCACACTAGAAATAATAGAAGTAATGATTTTGATAAAAATGAGGACTTTCGTTCCCATATGTCACATATTCCAATAGGACGTACTTTAAATACGTGTTTGCCATTTCGCAAAGAATAAATTAATTAAACACTCTCCAAGGTAAGGGAGCGCCGAAGGCGCGACCACAGCGAGTTTGTTTGCCCGAAGGGCAAACAAACTCGCTAGTATTAGATATATGTGGATGTGGATTCCTATTGGCATTTACTTAACAGTTACGTATACGGTTTTTATGTATTCTTGAAGTTGTTTTAATGAGTTGAATCATGAGGAAAAAAAGAAAACATCAATCAGGTTGAGAGGATGCATAAGATAAACAATTATTTATCATTAATACTGTTTTAAAATTAGCTCAGGCAAACTTCAGAGTGGGGCCGTTTTTGGGACCCGAAAATAAGCGCTGGCGAAATTGTTCCTAATCGTCTACAGATATGCCAGAATTCAGCCTCTCCATTCTTGGGCAGCATGGTAAAAGTTGACCCGAACTTTTTCCATCTACTTTGAGCAGAATTGCCGCCTGAAGATTGCTTTTAGAAATTTAATGAAATTTTTAGACAGCTTCCTTTAAAGAGTCCGCCTTTAGACATTTCAAGACTCACCTAAATTAGCTTTGAATGAGATCATGAACATTTACGTTAATTAAACTATAATGGAGTAGCGACTTTTCGTACCCGGTAGCCACAACCCGGTAGCAAATGAGTCAAATTGTATAACCTTCTCCTGCAAACAAGAATATTTTATTGCAAGTAGCTTTCAATATATGAATTTCGGAAGATACATCCAATTAATTAAATACCGTCGATTAAAATGATGAGAATTAAAAGTTCCATTCGAGCAAGGAATATTACTTCCACCGGGGGGGGGGTGTACATTTTATGGAGCTGATGTTTTGGGGCCTGCGCTTCCACGTCTAGGCGTGCCGGAATGCAAGTTGAGCCAGAAGGGAGGGGAATACGTAGGTGTGAAGGATAGGACCATTTCCGGCTTCGACTGCTCACCGTGGCTGGATCTGGACAGAAATCAAGAGGACATGATGCGTTGGGCACGTGAAGGGTCATTCCCAGATGAAGTCACAAACAGCCACAAGTTCTGTCGCAACCCGAACGGGAACCCAGGTGGTCCTTGGTGCAGCATCAAAGATTCCCGAATGCCGGACCTAAAGTGGGAGTACTGCGATGTCCTTTTTTGCGATTTTGACGATTCAAGAGGGGGAAGCGAGTTTGCACACCAATCCGCGTCAAGTGAGTAATACCACTGCTAGGGAGTTTCTTTGCCCTTCGGGGATACAATCTCGCTATGGTCGCGGCTTCGGCACTCCAGTACCTTGGTTAGTGATTAATTCATTAATTTTTTGCGAAATAGAAAACACGCATTTAAAGTACGTTCTCATTGATATACGTGACATACGGGGATGAAAGATGTGATTTTTATGAAAATCATAACTTCTATTATTTCTAGTGTTTTTAACTTGAAATCTTTTTTTGTGTCCCTGCTTTGTAAGGGTGTAGAATACATATTGAAATAATTTCCTCCTATAATCTAGGCTAAGAGGAGATTTTTGAAATGTAGGATTTTTCCTGTACTTAGCAATCCAACGGGTACTTCTGAGGGAAGTTTCAATTTTCTGATTTTTATTCATTGGATTAAAAAAAATTCACAAAATTGGAGTGAAAAAAGTGGCCTGTTGGGTTTTAACGCAAATTTTCTTTCTTCTGAAATTTGGATACAGGGAACTCTATGCCACCCAGTTTCAGCCTTATATGTTTCCTTATTTCGCTGGTGGAAAAAAATGAATTTGGAAAAGCGACCAACCAAAAAGCTGTGCTATGAGAATATGCACAAAACCCATTTGATTTTTTCCTTAAATCAACATCAAGTCCGTTATATGTGCGCCACCTGCTACTTTTTTATTTCTGCCCGATTCGCTGGCACATGAACAATTCTTTGGAAACGTTACGCCATAAATAAATATGAACCCCAAAATTATTTTGGAAATTTAACATTTTACATTTGAGCTCAGTGCGCAAGCAATCACGTTCTTAACAAGTTTCAGTTTTCCATGTGTCTCCGTTTGAATGAAGCAAATAAAACTATTTGAAGATATATTTTCCCCGAAGAGGTGTGCCCCTATGTATCAACAAAGTAGATTTTTTCCTGAACGCAGAATGTGAATAGCTACTTATGTCAGGCAGCCAGCTACTCTCGATCGTCTATATATAATTAACGTTTTTTTTCATTACTCATCTATCCCCCAGGTACTATTTTTCCCAAGTTAAAACTTCCTAACGCCCTTCATTTTGCTGGATCAGAAAATTCTAGAAAAAACGTATTTTGCAAATGATGTACCCTCAGGCGTTCCAACCGAAAAACACCATTTTTTCCAATCGAAATCAATCCTCAGTGAACTACATGCCCACCAAGTTTCAATATTATACGTTTGGCATTTCGCTGTTAAAAGATCATGTTTGGAAAAGACAAACCAACCAAAAGCTATGCCCGGAGGGGATGCAACATGAAAGTTGAATACTCCCTCAACTTAATAGTATGTCACTTATACGTGTGCCAAGTTTTGACTTTAGATTTCTGTCCAATTCACCATGACTAAATTTTTTTTCAACATCGCCCTTGAAAATATTCCCCCTGGGATGTATCGAGACTTGACATTTTTCTTTCATTCCTTATCTCAGCAGTCACATCCACACAAAGTTCCAGAGCTCCATGTTCACCAGTTTAACTGATGTAAAAATAAAAATTATTAAAAACGCAAACGAACACGGCACAAAGGACACTTGAATAAGTCATCGACCAAGAAGAAACTCCTCTCGAGAAGCCACGGACGGCATAAGTAAACTCTTGGAGTGTGAAGAGGATACAGGGTCCGAAATAATCCCTCTATTTAACCCAGGTCCACAAATCGCGTTAAACTCTCTGGTTCTAAATCAGTCCGTTTCTGATATTTCCGTCTTCTCCCCAAGTCCCCAATAACTCTCAAAAGTTGGTGGTTTTGAATGGCACGATTGAGTTATCTCTTCCTCTACATCTACACCCTCGGAACTGCTTGAATTTACGGGTCTGGATGGCAAAACATTCTATCTTGAAAAAAAAGATTGCAGGATTTCTAATACGAGGGATTGTTTGGTGTGGTGTGCCAAAATCAATCCTGACAAGAAAAGTTTATTGTAAGAGTAGGAGAGTAATATATAGGTAGCACGTTTTTAAGGGTGACAGATGGGTCGTTTTAAATTTGGGCATAAACTGATGAGGTGAGTTTCACTGGCATCCTGCAACGAGTTCTTGAGACTGAAGGGATTGATTGCAAGGAACCCAAAGTCGCTGGTGACTTCCGGGCCTGTTGCATTAGGAAGGAGAGCAGGACTAATGAGGATGTCCGTGAAGTCATCTAGGGTGGGTTCCAGTGCGCTTCAACTTAATAAATCGAGTACAGTATACATTTCTTCACGAATGTGCGAGTCGATTTATTTTCATTAGATATATCATGACCACAGACGTTCGTAATAATTGACCCGAAAGGTCATGGCCTATCCTTTTCCTTTAGCATATTGGGAACTATTTTCTATTCATCATTTTCCTGGGGCAAAATTCGTGAATTATGGGGAGTACTCTAGAGGCTATGTTTCGCCTAATAGAGAGACATTTTATTCATCACCACTCCATTTCCTACACACTGCCCTGAGCCTGAACGGGATTTCCGAAAGAAAATGCGGTCGCGAAGGTTCTGGTCCCATATTAGGATCTGCGTTTTCTCTCTGCAATTGTTTTCCCTATTCATGAATTCGCGAAAGACATTGGTTCGATATTTACGGTCAATTCCCCTTTAGGTACTTCAGTACGTTATTAAGTGCGTTAATCTAATCAATGTCCACTAACTCCATCGGCGTGGATAACCAATACCTTGATCAATAATATCTTACATCAATGGTCGATAAATATCAATCAGACTATACCATGAAGGTAATTGTCACTCTGGGGAGCATGCTACTCTTCTGCTACTCTGCTTACTCCCCAGAGTGTCATTTACCTTCAGAGTATGATGAATATTTGTCTAACATTAATGTAAGATATTGTAAAGTATGGGTGATCCACTCCGGTGGAGTTGGTGGAGATAGATTAGATTCACGCTACTTATGCAACTCATACACATAAACAAATTGATCCGAAATTGATCGAAATTCTATTGTAGATGGAGAAGTTATGCAGCCCAATTACAAAGAATGCCGGCTTACGGAGACGGGAAAGGAATACATAGGCGATGAGTACAAGACGGAAACAGGAACGGAATGTATTAACTGGAATGATGTGATGGAACGAGGCTTTCCATCAAGCAGTTTCCTTTTCTCCCACCTACCATACCAAGATCGCCAGCTCCCTGGACCGCCTCATAAGATCGAAAATTTCTTAAGCATCTGGATTAATGGTCAAGAAATGGGCTCAAAGCGAAACCCCTGCCGTAATTACGACTCGAAGGAGCGGCCGTGGTGCTTCGTCTCCCTTGTGAATTCCGCCTGGGAGTACTGTGACATCCCGTTCTGCCGTGGGGCCAAAGGTTTGCAAATATTTCATCATGAGGCTTCCAAACCTGTTGAGGGTTTTTTTAACCTTCCTATTAACCCTTTGTATAATGAGAAATAATATAACAGAGATAAGGGAGATAATAACTTCCAATTTTTAAAAGTTCGTATTAGGTGCACAATTGCTGGGCGAAAAAAAGCTTTTGACTTATTTAGTTAGTTGGCTTGATTAATGTTTCACTTGATTAGACATTATTAAAAAAGAAAAAAACAGTTTTCTCATATGTAATACTTTGTTAAATAGCGTCCACGTTTGTTGAAAATATTTCGTAAATCCTTTTTCGGCCATAATATATAGAATGTTTACCTTGACACCATATCCATACTTTCTTAATTATCGGTAAATGTCACATGTAAATTTATGGATATGTCAGATATTTAGGATGTTTTGAGCCCGAAAAAAACACCACCAAGTAATGAGACAAAATATGCATTGCCTGAAATCATATATCACATACTACTAATTCAGCGTCCTCATATTCCCCCTTACCAGACCCTCCATGAACATTTTATCTAGAACGATTCCAATGATACTTAGTTTAAAAAAAGAATACAATGTCAGTTTTATATGAGGATGGTTTTACTTTTAAAGTGGGAGTATACACAAATCAACAGATGAAAAAGAACGCAGAAGCGGAACCAGTGCGCGAACAAGAGCCTGTTAGCGAACGCTGGGTCATGAAATGCAAGTTGACCTTCTGCCGTTGTTTTATCACCCACCGTCCCCAGCACTAATTAATGGCCCGAGCCCTTTTCTGCAGATAACACGAATGAATAAGTCGAATCGCAATTCATGACCCGTCATTCGCTAACTGGCTCATGATCGCTAACTGGAACCGCTACTATAATAGTTCAGATGCGATGTCGGCGCCCCGCATTGTCTCTTGACAGGCGTTGGTTTTACACGAGAGAACTCGTAATGAGATATTTCTGGTCAGCGCAGGGCAACGCACGAAGAATACCCAAGCAGCATGCTTACGTAAACAATACAAACAATAAATGTATACACACTTCAGGAAAAGAAAAACTTGCATAAATATTTAATACTAAATTTATTCAGGCATCATAAGATTAATACAAGTTACCTTTTGCCTTTACAATTAGAAGAGGTGCCCAAAGTGGTGGCCATTAGCTTCCAGACATTTAATAGTCCGGCGAACTGCTGCTTGGGCAGCTTAATAAAATATGACTTATGGAATCATTAAATACATAAGTTAATTATTATATTCAGTTTAACGAAAATGTTAAAAATAAATGTAACTGATACATACGTCAAGGGTAACCTGCTTCTCTAATGTCGTTTTCTCATTGTTCCTTAATGCATTTTCATATGATCCGATTTTTTCGCTAAATCATCCCCTCCGTGCGAAATTTACGTTATTATCTGATCTAATACCTGAACATGGAAGTCACATATTTGATTTTTTCGTTTCGTTTTTAGCCATTTGTGTTTTTGATGCATTTTATTCTATTATTTTCAGGTCATGCATTAATGGTCTCTCTCAAAATCTAACCTTTTCGCACTTTCAATGAGTTTGTCATTTGTTCATTCATCAAAAATAAAAATCGTACAGCTATGACTCCTTCCACACGATCCACTTCGAATTTTCCCTGATTCCTTCACCATATAGAGCCAGCGGAATGCAAATACACGGATGGTGGACGAGAGTACTTAGGGTTGAAGAACGTGACACGGACGGGGAAGAAGTGCCAGCCCTGGCTGAGCCAAACGCCAAATGAACATTCGACAATATTGTACTTGCCGGTATTTCCCGATCCTGGCATGGACAGCCAGCACAATTACTGTCGGAATCCGGATTTACGGAAGTCGGGTCCCTGGTGCTACAATGGGGAGGGCACCAATCCTGAATGGGAATATTGTGACATTCCGATTTGCTAGGTGAAAAGAACTCGAAAGGGGACATGTTACCGGTAAATGTGGGAATGGCTAATTATTGTCCAGAGCATGGTGTTTCTTGGACGCTATTCCGGCTCCTTTTAGCAATTGAGTATACATTGGGAAGCTTCTGTGTTTCTTTGTTTCTTATGCGCTGCCTCCTCCCAGCACTTCGGGAATACTTTTCTACACCTCAAAACAACGTTTTCGAACGTTTTATGTAAATTTTTCGACGATTTTGACTTGTTTCCTTTGCAGGACCTTCCAAAGTGAATTTTGAACAGAGTAATTTCCATCCCAAGGGCTTCAGCTATATTATCCAAAAATTATAGTTCTAATTTTAGTTTACATCTTAGTGTGATAGTTTAGAGCTTGGTTCCCGAGTAATCACCATCGTACCTTCTGCAAAACCAGATGAACAAACTTTGTGTGGTGTTTGCACCATTTTGTAGGCCAGATTGACACAATGGATGTGTTTGCGTTCCTGAAAATGATTCCATCCCATACTTCCAATATATAATTTCCCAACTTTTCCCAATCCTATTCCCAGTATGCTTCTATGGACCGTAAAGTTGAAGACATGGGAATTGTTTCCGTGGGAAAATCTTTGCACGTGGGCCTTTGAGTATGTTCCAGGACTGGTATTTACATGAAAAAATTACATGGGAAAACTCCGTACCGAAGTTAACTTTCAGTTCGATCCCGTTCGAAGTAATTACCTTGAACTGCAAAGTGCCTGAAGTTTCTTCTTTCTAGCTTGACGATGTGCGTTCATTGCGTCTTTCATATTCATTTAGTTTCTGTCATTTGCGAAATCACGAGTGCCATTCTCACACGATAATTAAGATAATTAGGAAATATTTGAGGCCCTTCCTCAGCTGATCTAAAGTGAAGGCATGGATATGAATCTATCAATCATCATGTGACTTTAAACATAAAGGGGCGAGACAAAGCATTAACATACTTCCTACCCAAAAGTTTATTAAAAGCTGCCGCTGCAAAACTCATTCGCTATCTTCTCAACTGTGACCAATGCGGCGAAGGAGGTAGCCAGGAATGGATTACAGCCAGTGTTCCAATATCTTTACAAACGTTGGGTGAAGTATATCGCAAGTCAAGGAAAACATGTTTAAGGGGTTGAAAGTGAAACCCTATCTCCTATATATAGTTCGCGCATTTTAAAGTCGTTCCTCTAACTTCTTCACAGGTTCAGTGATACGCATATTACAGGCTGTTGGAAAAGTCACTGTGCAGTAGAATTATTCATTTAGTTGCATGTTTACAGCATTATACTTGATATCACATGTATTGTATCATGAAGTTACTACATTTTCCCTGAACATGTCATCAAATTTTAGCGTTATCCCCGATTTACATAATGTATTGTCTGTTTTTCCAGGTTAAAATGAGGCCTCCTACATTATGTCGTGAATTCTACGGCACAGTGCCTTTTGGAAGACCCTGTATCTCTGCATGTGTAAACATCCCCTCACCTAATAAGGAAAGATGTTGTCATTCCCTCGGATTTATTTTCCACTCGTCTTGATACACGTTTTCTCTTGAATTTGAATCTCGTGAATCACTTTGGTGTGCTATCGTGTCAGGGTGAGAAAGCTTATAAATTATGTAATATCATTGGCCCCTTTGGAATGCACAGGTGGAAATATATGCAGGGTGATTCGAAAGTCACTTGCATTTTTTGGTTTCGTATTGCAATCAATCGATTGATACCATATCAATCGATTTATCAGCTTCTCTTGAGCAAATTGGTGCAATATGAGTATGAGCAAAACATACTTCGAAAGAAAGGACAGAAAATAGGCACGATGATCATAAGCTTTCTCAGCTATTAAAATATTTACAGAACATTAATAAGTGGGCAAAATATGATTGCTATGATATGGCATGTTCGAAGTGACTGCTACCTGCTTCAGCAAGGGACGCCATTCGCAATAGAACGGTTAACGCGGCACTCCATCACAACGGATGTGCTGGACGTTATTCTTAGTTCCAGGGAGTGGTCGAATGATGGTGAACGAGCAATTTCAGAACCACCCTCAACCAGTAGTCAGCAGGATTGGAATCTTGAGGTCATGGGAGCCATGAAGTTAAACAATGGCAGGTAAAGATTTGGTCGTCGATAATGGCCGATTGACAAACGGAAATATTTGCTAGGTGGAACATTCAATATACGCTTTTCAATAATTACAAGAGTTTAGCCGCTTCGTTACCTACATCTTAATTCATGTATGGTCAAATCACGCAAAAAGCTTACGTGTGCGTCTGCGTTGTCCAAGCCCCTGCAGAAGGATCGTGGTCGAAACTGCTCCTGCACAGGGCGTACACTATTTTGAGGACTCCGCCTTCAATACACGCTTGGTTTGTTGCTTTCACCATTCCGACTTGAGATTTTAATTCGTAAAAAGTGGCAGGACGGTAATATTTGCGTGAGGGCAGGACATTGCGTCACTCTGCTGATTTAGCCCACTTCAGTCAACTTTCTTAAGTCATTGATAGTTGAATAGACCACATTGACTTAAAAGTATAGTTGCATACATTTCCAGGCATTCTTCCAAAATGTCACAAGGCTAGAGAACTCTGCATATTCAATCATGTGACATAGGCTTCCTCAAGTGTTACATATTTGTACGCTGTCTGAATTGAAAGGAAATGGCTTGCAGGAAAATCTTGAAGTGTATGCCTATTTGGAACTTTCCTTAGGCTATATGATAGCAACGCCGACTTCTCAAATTCAGACTTAATTTTACACCTATTGGGGTCATATACTAATTGATGACTAAGCCAAGTGATGTAATACAGAATAGAACTGGACTTATACATTACAGGATTGGTGACATTCTCAACTTAAAGTAAAAAATGTAGACATGATTCGGGCGCCTCAAAGCGGAACCGTGCCGAAGTTTGATAGCCAGATGCAGCAGGAAACACGGAGGGAAGACTTATAAACAACTGAGAATTATCATACCCATTGAGGTAAAGACGAGGGTGAATCAAAACTCAAGCTCACTGACGCAGTCACTGAAGAGCACAAACTACACCACCACCTTCGATTGTTCGCCGCATCGGTCGTCGCGCCAATATTGTCAACGTCATATGAGAGCTTTTGAAATATTGTAGTCAATCAGGTACATTTCTAGGCTGGGATGAGTTCGAACCAACTCTCCATACCCCCTCTCCGGAGATAAAATTCGCGTCTAATTCCCTTCCGTCAGGATATCCCATGAATGTCACTTCTATCGTCATAGGCCATGTGTAGAGCAAAGCAAAGAATATTATACCTCTTGTCTTCCTTCCTTGGAATACAACATAAGTAATACAAGTGCGTCCCCATTGAAATACTTCGCATATGGGGACGAATGTCTTCATTTTTATCTGAATCATTACTTCTATTATTTCAAGTGTGCCTAAATTGAAATATTTTCATGTGTCCCTTTTCGTGAAGGTGGAGAATACATTTTTAAATACTTCCCTCCAATAATCTACGCGGATGGGACATATTTCAGAAGTAGGATTTGTCCTGTACTCAGCCATAATATAGGTACTTCTGAGAGAAGTTTTGATTTTCTGCCTCTGTTTCGTTAGATGAAAAAAAACAATAAAACGTAAATTTAAAAAGTGCCCTGATGGGTTTTGAACGCAATTTTTATTATTATTCTGAAATGTAGACTCAGGGAACTCCATGCCGCTCAGCTTCTGCCTTAAACGTTTCCCCTTTTTACTGGCGGTAAAAAAATGTATTTCGAAAACACAATATACCTGGTGGGTTGACCGTCACGGTGACCCACAGTCTTACTGGGATGGCTCACACGCTGGGGAGCACATATGGAAATGCGGTCTTATTGACGACTGCATTGACCCTACTCTGCCCTGCAACTACGACGCTGCAGCTCCGCAATGGGAATCCGACTCGGGAGCCATCAACAACGGAACAGCCTTCCCCATCACCGAGCTACGATTCGGGGGTTTGATTCCCAACAGGCGAATCACACTCTGGGAGCTTTGGTGTGCAAGGGCCACAACTATTTGGACAACCCCTCACGATCATGCTCATCTCTCCGGCAAGCCGGACACACTCGAACGGGTTATTACCTGATCAATACCAAAGAAGGACGGTTGGATGCCGCCTTGTGTGAGATGGGTCTGGATGAGACCGATCCGAAGTTCCAGCTGGAGACAGGTGCCCGCATCGCCGTGGGGAACGTCTATTTCGATGCATATCTCTTAACTTACCAGACGAATTCAGGCTGAATCCGTTTCGATGGGACCGAGGTCAACATCAGCGACGCAATGTCATCGAGCACACGCATTTTTACCACTCCAAATGATCGTATTTATGCGTTTCATTTGCACTACTTTTCCGACATCGAGACTCAGGTAAACCTCAGACGAAACGGAATCATCAAGGGACAAGCGTACGCCGATGATGTTTACGGCTACGATGACGGCCAGACCCCAGGCCAATCCATCCTCCTAACCCTGGACGCTGGTGACCAAGTCGACGCCTACTTGGACTTCGGATCAGCGGGTTCAAACGCAGATCGGAACGTTCATTTCGTCGAGTATTTGATGTATCTCTTTTAGAGCGAAGAATGAAATTATGCTGTGGCCACGGTTGCAATCGATTACGGTGACTCATTTCCTTCAATTTCTGATGGCAGGAACTGTGTAAAAAATAAGCAATACATCACCGAGATTTTCGATTTATATATCTGGCTTCCCGACCGTGCAGGGTCTCCTGAAAGGCGTTCGCAGAGCCAAAATTTGTCTATAGCCGAGTCGAAAGGGCGGTTTGAGTGTCCTAGCATCGTCTAGACACATATTAACCTCCGTATTCCACTTCATCGTGCCGAGGAAGCCCCCCCCCCCCCAATGAACCCTCGGGGCAATGTATCGTCAGTCGAGGGATTCGCACGCAACCGCCTGAGTGCATGGCCTCTTCGCCACTTTACCTTCCCTCAGACCCGTGCGAGTGGCGAGTGCGT